GATAGTTAAATATCTATAGTTTGAGTCTCATTCTTGTAAAATATTTGTAATTATTGGTCTTATAGACCAGAGAAACCCCTAGTGGATTCTCAGTACAAATTATTAAATAAAAATAAAGGCAAAACCTCACCTTAAAAAAAAAAAAAAAAAAAAGATAAAAAAATTAAATAATATGAAAGTTAACAATTTTTGAATTCAAGCCCTTGTTAATAACCAAATTGATCTTTAGCAGTTTTTATTCAAATTCAACTCTTTACTAGTATAATAGTAAATATAGTATGATTAATACAATCAATTACTATATTCAAATAATTGTTTAAGCCAAATAATTTGAAAAGCAAATTATCTGACAAGAAAATCAAATAACAAAAAATCAATTTACATTCTTCAAACTATGAAATATATGATTACTTGTTTTTGTAAATATTGAATAATAAAGAGTAAATGCGATTTTGGAAAATCAAACATAATGATTTTTATGAGCATTGTTTGATTGTGTTATAGATAATAGCAGATAGATCAAAATTAATAATACAGAAATAAAAATCAAATCTCTAGAAACAGGATCTAACAGCAATCACGATCAGCAACTATAAGAAAATAAATTACTAAATTGCATATTAAAAGTTAGATATACAATCTTATACAATACAAAAAAACAGAAGCAAGTGTTACTTTAGATATGAAGATGTAATATGCAAAGTTTCAATATGCATTTACACCTTTGCTTCACTATATGCACCTTTGCTTTGCTATATGTACCCAAAAAGTGCAAGATTTTGCTATATAACTATATACTACAAAAAACTCAATTTTTTTATTAAAATCAAAAAATATCAGTTTATACTAATATTAATATCAAAGTAAGCCAATATTTCAGTTTCTAATATGTATTAATATTTATCTAACTATCTGCATCATGATTAATCAATAGTTTTATTACTTGTTAGAAACTTTACTGATTTTATACCTATATTCTTTATTTATATTGGAATACTTATGAATATTTTGATAGCTATATCAGAATTTTTAATAAGCCTATTGTCATGGTGCTATGCAGTATCTATGTGACTAGTGATTAGGTACATGTTGATTAAATATCATGATTTAATTAATCGAATGATCACAATTTAGTTAAAAGTTTAAAATAGTGATTGCATAGACAATATATTAATTGTATAAACAATTTAGTAATTAATAGTGATTAGTAATAATAGATAAAGTATCAATTAAATAGAGAAATACCTAACTTTTATTCTTAATATCTCTTTAAGCTATTCTTAGTGAATAAACTGTTATCTTTTTGAGTTATTCTTAGTGAATACATTATTAGTAATAGTATTTGGTACAATATTCTAGTTATCATATATATTGCCAAGTGAGTAAAAATTAATAGTAAAGACTTATGAATATATGGTAGTTTGGATAACAACATAACAGAAAGGACCTGGACAAGACACAGGCTCGCTACAATATATTAGAAGCTATTAGAATTGTGCAAAGTGCAAGAACAAGAAGGTTATATTAATCATAATCAGAGTCTTGGTAGCAAGTTTAATGAAATTGAAGTTTGAAAAGAATGGAACGTGAAAATTATTTAGTAATGTTGGTAAAAAATATTGTAAAAACTGTGGTCAAAGAGGTTATACAGAATCTAAGAATATTTCAAAAGAAACAACAAAAGCGTAGATTACATTTGTATTACTTGTATTGCTATAAAAAGCACTTGGCTTATTCATGGTCGTCTATGAAAGATCAAGGTTATAATCAAAGTTCAAATAATGTGATGAATATTCGTCATGTAGAAGTTGGAAGAAAAATTTGTGAAGGTTTGAAACATAATAAAAAAGTTAAGATAGAATAAAAGGTTGATAGTAAAATGATGAAATAGCTAGAAAGTTTGTGAAAATTAATAGAGAGTTTGCAAAAGCAATGATTAGAACTAGTTTATGTTCAAATCTAATAAACATGAAGTATGCAAAGAAAAAAGAACTTATCTAGAAACATATGAATAAGAAAATCAATGATAAAGTTGTTGGATATGTTCCTGGACTTGAAGTTGATGTTGATAACATTAAAGTGGTTTAAAAGTTTTATGTAAAGCACAGATTATATTGTGACATCATTCGTGGAATGCTGTGGGTTGCAAAAACATAGTTTAATTTTGGATGGAGAAATAGGAAATGTTGTTGTTTGATTCGATCCGGTTATGATAAAACAATGTTTGTAATTTTGGAAGAACTAATTATTGATAAAAACATTGTGGGTAAAGGTAGTATGAAGAAGAGTAATGATCGATGAGAGAATGAATTTGTGGATGTTAGATGTGTTAAAGATAAATTTATAGAAAATAATGACAATAAGAAGAAAAATAGAATCATTAATAGATTGAATAAAAGAAAGTCAATACAGATAAAAGACACGAATTCTGAGAACCTGTCTATGAAATCCAATAATAAAAGAGATAAATCAGATGACTAAAAGCTAAAGGAATTGATATCGAAAAGGATGAATATAAAATGATCATTAATTATCAAAAATCAGTAGAGGTGGAAAACCCTATTCGAACATATAGTATTAGTTATAGAAAAGTTGATAAATGTTTTCAAAATAGAGTTTGTAATAAAACAAATAGATGCAAGATATTTAATTTTTGCCAAAAATCTGCTAACAAAGATAATATTGATGCAATAAATAAAAGAAATTAGAATCATGTTGATAAGATGGAAATAAGGTATATGCATGGTAATGAAGGCAGTGTAGTTGACTTTGATAAAATGTTGTATTCAGAGAATCTAGCTCAGATTGTAGAGCTAAAACTGATAATAAAGTTGTAAATGATAATAGCAGAGTTCTGAATAATGGCTGCAGTAATTTTCTTATAAAGCAATAGATGAAAAGGTGAATGATGTTTGTGAGTAATCGGATTAGAGATTCTGCATGGCTACAAAAGTTAAAACACCAATTAATCAAAGAATATAGCATTATGACAATTGTGGATCGAAATGTAAATTGAAGTCATGCTGCATTGTATAATGGTAAAAAGATTGAATTTCTTAAATGATTGTACTTGGATCAAATAGCTGGGTGTAGTTTGGAGAAATTGGTTAGTGCAGTATTTGATAATCATCTTGAAATAAAAAAACTTGGTAGGGTGGATATAAGTTGTTGTAACTTTAGGGACAAAGTTATTGGGGTTCTAGCTTATGTCGCAGTACTACATAATACCAATATGACTAGTAATCAGATACATATTGATTGAATATCATGATCTAATTAATCAAATGATCACAATTTAGTTAAAAGTCTAAAATAGTGATTGTATAAACAATGTAATGATTGCATGAATAATGTAGTAATTAATAGTGATTAGTAATAATATATAAGATATTGATCTAAATGGAGAAGTGCCTAACTTTTATTCTAGATATCTCTTTGAGCTATTCTTAGCGAATAAACTGTTATCTCTTTGAATTATTCTTAGTGAATACATTATCAGTAATAGTATCTGGTATGATACTCTAGTCATCGTATACATTGCCAAGCAAGTGAAAATTAATAGTAAAGACCCACGAATACATAGTAGTTTGGGTAACACTATAACACCTATCATTTATCTTTATAGATCTATAATTTTTAATAACTAATATCAGTAACATATTGATTCTTGATATGTTTCTAATATTTATCTGATATGTACATTCTCAATATAGCTTCATTCAACCTGTATAACTAAAATAAAATTTAAAATTTTAGATAAAATTTTGCAATCAGAAATAAGCTATAAAATAAAACAAACTTTTAACTAACTTTGCAAAATATTAAATTTACTAAGCAAGCAAATATAATATTTAATAGAATTTAAATAATAAACAAATACAAATATATAAAAATAATATATTTATAAAATTTAAAAAAACTATATTAGTAATATACAAAAAATTCTAGAATATCTACTATCAAATAACTAAAAAGAAGTACTTAAAGAAGAATTATTAAAATATTTTAATTATTATTAGACAAATAAAAAATCTTTAACTTATTTACAAAAAATTTGTATTATAAAAAAGAATTATCAAATACAAAGAAATTATTATAATGGTGCTGGTTCACAACTACCTTTAAATACAATAAACAAATTAAGCTTATTAAACAAGAGGTATCAGGACTCAATGACATACTTAAAACCAAAAATATAACA